CACCCTCTCTCACACACACACACACACACACACACACACACACACACACACACACACACACACCTTCACGCCATAAAAAAAGACGTAATTAAAGTGAATGGTGACCGAAGCTGTCATTTTACATTAACATTCTAGCATTGTGTCTACATCATTTCACTGAAAAAATAAATCCATACCGGTATGTAATAACATGAGGGTATGTAAATGACGACAGAATGTTTTTTTGGGTGAACGACCCCTTTACAACACAGTACCATCTATCCCGCTGCTGTCGGACAGTTTAATCAGAATGAGCCACGCGGCGCTTCGCATGAGCTCTCACCTGCGTCCCCTTCCCCGCACCGGGTGGGCCGAGCAGAATAGCTCGAATGCCTTTCCTTACACCGGAGATGGTATCATCCGCTTGCGTGCTGGGGGCCATGTTTACAGGTTGTAAACGAACTAAATACACTTCTCTCCACTCCACACTTCGCGTCCGCACACTCAACTCACTCAGAAAGGAAGTGGTAACGCCTCCGTTTGCTGAGTATGGACTCAAAGTCCCGCCTCCTAAGACAAGGCCACCCATCTGATTGGCCAATGGCACGCAGTTTATCCACAGCGCGAGCTCATTGGATCAAATCGAATGCCTCCGTATCGTCTAAATCCGGAATTTGGCCTGAAGTGACACATCGCGCATCAAGGAGATGTGAACGTTTAGATAAAGCAAAACAAGATATCCGTATCTAAAATGACATATTAATATTTACATCACACTGTACAAAGGTTGTCATTCAGCTTTTGTTCTTCCGACTTTAACTTTATATTAACCACAGACCATAATTTAGAAGTACCGCCCTGGTCACCCTACAATGAATTGAACGAACTTTGTACTTTTTTCAGTAGTTTAATATCTATAATTTTAAATGATCTATCATTTTAGTATAATTTTTGGATCTTACTTTTTTAAATAATAAATAGCATTAGCATTATTTATAAATATTTTTAATAATCTGGTATCTTTATATTTTCACTTTTCATTTGAATGTTAAGGTAATGTTTTGCTTTTGTCATTTATTCTTTATACTTGTTTAGCTTTTATTTCAGCTTTAGTAATTATAGTACTTCAGACTTTAATTTCAGTTAGTTGACTAGACATTAGTGTTGTAGTCAAGACCACCTACACTGAGACCAAGACCAAACCAGCACTTAATCTGAAAGATCCGCTTTACTGCCTGTAAATGTCTTATATTTAATCAATAATTAGAATAATAGGACACTATAGACCTGTTACCAATCAAATGAAATTAACAACAAAATTCATCTTTGCACTCAGAAGTAGCATCTGAATTGGTACGATTACAACTGCATAAATATTGTTGAGATTAATGTTCCTGTGGCTCAGTGGTAGAGCATTGCGTTAGCAGCGCAAAAAGGTCATGGGTTAATTTCCCAGGGAACACACATACTGGTAAAAAAAACGTATAGCATGAATGCACTGTAAGTTGCTTTGGATAAAAGTGGCTTCTAAATGCACAAATTAAATGTAAAAAAAAACGAGCATGGAAATATGATGGGAAAATAAAACAATACTTTTAAATATTACATTAAAACTGCCAGTAGGTTAAGTGGCGGCTTGTGTTCTGCAGTGAGGGGCTACTGGGCAAATCACTTAATGAGTGAGTCAGAATCATTTATTCAACCGATTCGTTCAAAGCAGCCGATTCGTTCTGTAACGAAATACAGCTTTGAGTGGCTCAGAAACGCACAACAGATCTGCTATGGATTTGTTTGTTACTATTTTCGTTGACGAAATAGCAAAAACGTGAGTTTAAAATGTAATTCACTTAATAGTACCTTCTTTTTTTGTTGAACGTTTGTATAAAATCAATGCTTTCAATCGTGCTCATATTCGCGAAAACAGCTCTATTGCTCTTGTGATAGTTTAATTATATCATGTGTTATAATATAAAAAGATCTCATACAAGTTCTTTTTTTTTGGCATTTGTAATAATTTGAGTGAATTTTTTCACTATTCCCCATTAAGTTGCTGCACAAGCACAACAGTATAAACACATTTTTAAAAATAAAGTATTAATTGCATTTGAAGCAGCAATGTTTACATTCAGTCACATTGATGATGCTAACAAATAAATCAGATAATGCATGAGCAATTTAGAGATATCGAAATATTGAAATAAAATCCTGTCTGAGACCAAGACAAGAGAAGACCTTCAAAAATGGTCAAGTACTACACTACAAGGCATTTCTAATTAGAAGTGTTTAAGTTCTTCATAATAGCTAATAGCTATATTTTATTTTAGATTTATTTTAACGAACAAAAACTATTTTAAATGGTTTGAACAATTGCACTGTATTCAAATAAAGCAATAAGCCCCAAGAAGCATTGTTACAACCCCCTTAGCTGTTATAAATTCACTGTAAACCACAGCTTCCCGTGGCTTTTTGCTTTTATAAAATGGTTATTCCATATACGTTGTAAGGTTTCACAAAATAAAACGGAGCAAATAAAGTGTAACGATATTAAAAACATTATTCTTCCGTCAAACAATGTAGGTCCTCAGAAACGGTTGTGGTTCCAACAAAGAGGTTGCCGAGCAACACACAAATGTAAACAAGTGTGTGTTTGTAGAGTCATTTACAGCAGCTTCGAATGCGGCTCAACCAATCAGTAATAGTAATACTAAACATTCCTAGTCTAGCTAAACACATTGAGAAGATACGAGGCAGTTAAACAAAAAAACATTAAGAAACTGATGACAAGTATGTTGTCAAAAGCTTGTTTTATCATTTTATTCGTAAGTCATGAAAATGCCTTTAAGTAACAAGACTTTAGCATGTTACTTACTGTATCATACAGTAATAGCAATACTAAACATTCCTAGTCTACCTAACCCATTGAGAAGATACGAGGCAGTTAAACAAAAAAACATTAAGAAACTGATGACAAGTATGTTGTCAAAAGCTTGTTTTATTGAAACTGCAGCTCTGTGATACATGGAAGCCACATCTGGAGTGTTTAAGATAACATAACACACAAAACTGCCAAAACACTAAAGTGCTTAAGATTGCTACAGTAGTAGGTGCTGAATTTTGGTATGGTGTATGAAATGGTTCAGAAATTAGTCTCAGTCAAGACAATGACATCTAGTGTAAATGTAAGCTTTGTATGTGTCACTTATTCAAACACACATTTGGATATAGGTAAATGAATCTAAATTTAGTTAGAATCATTAAAACATTTTTTATAAAATGTTCATTTAAAAGTTACACAAAGCAAACTAAAAAACAGTAGTAGGTGCTGAATTTTGGTATGGTGTATGAAATGGTTCAGAAATTAGTCTCAGTCAAGACAATGACATCTAGTGTAAATGTAAGCTTTGTAAGTGTCACTTATTCAAACACACATTTGGATATAGGTAAATGAATCTAAATGTAGTTAGAATCATTAAAACTTTTTTTATAAAATGTTCATTTAAAAGTTACACAAAGCAAACTAAAATATATGTAGAGTTTAGAAAATAGGGAATATGCATGATAAATATTTCAACTCAGAATTATTGTGAAGTCATCTGGATCAAGCTAAGAAAAAAAACATGTCTTGGACCATTTTCCTTTTCAATAGAAAAAACAAAAAGGGAAATTTCTATAGAAAATATCAATTACATTTGTATTCTTTTGAAGGCACATATACCTCATCAGTGTTATTGCAGAAACTGAGCTGAAAAGAGCTTTGGTGACAGGGAAAAGTGTAATTTTTTTTTAAATTGTATGCGGTTCTTCAGCCACAGAAAGACCAACATTGGCCATAAATGTTCAAAAAAGGAGGGGGAAAAAAAGCCCATTCCCTCTCATTATCCAAGTGAGCTCCCCACTGTTTACGTAAAGAAAATTATATAAAAATATAAATTTCATAACTAATCTAACCAAACCCAAAAAAAATCGTTTAAAATTTCTGGAACAGATGAGCAAAAAATGTAAGTCATTCCTATAACAGCAAATATACAGATATAAAAACAGATCATGGGTTTTGGCAATCCTTAATATGAAAATGAAATTTGTCACCACAAAGTACTGACATTAAATGTGTCGTTCATTTAAGGATTCGGGACATTGTCTCCCGTCTTGCTTGATGAATATTCTGAGAAATCTGACTACAGCAGGTATCTCAGCAGACAGCAGTCATGCAAAAGACATTTATATATATATATATATATATATATATATATATTTAAAAATTGACAGTCTAACCAAGCAAACACACTTTCATTAGTCTTCAAACAATCCTTGCTAAATTACAGACATAAGTATCAAAAACATACCTGAAAACCCTTGTAAGGCAAAGCATTTTGTCCTTTAATTGAAATGTCTCTTAATTTATGGCTTTATTGATTTTTTATTTTTTTTATTACTTTCGTCAAATTTCTAACAACAAACTTGTAAAATGTATCTGTAAACACTGTGTAACTATGATGCCATATTGCACTTCCAAATCTGACATATACAGTCAATGTGAACGTCAGACTAGGATACTTTTGGCCCTTGGTGCCCGATGAGAGCAGGCTTACATGGGTTTATAGCATGAATCTGGCTGCCACATGCGCAGGTCTACCAAGATCTGGTTCAGCTTCTGCATCCACAGATTCCTCTCATCCTTAGTGTCGGCACTCAGCCAGTTCCTGCACATTACAAAGGGAAGTTCTGATTAGGACTTGAACTTCTCCATCAAAGCACATGAATTGACATTGTTAATTGGATCTTACTTTGTAACACACAGAGTGTCCTTGCACTTGCTGACCAGGGTATCTCTGTCATCCTCCCTCTGTGGTCTCACAGTGATGAGCTCAAAGGTATTGGGCCGGGCACAGAACTCTCTGTTTGCCGGCTCCACTTTACGACTCGTACAGTTGGCAAGGTTAACGCGACCAATTGGCTTCTGTGGGAAGAAGAATAACCTGTTAATTTTAATTAAGTGCATCACAAAAATTTACAAAATTATAGTAGGCCTACCTTTCGTTTTTCATCATCAGGGTAGGTCCAAAAAGAGATGCAGTATCCTGAAAGGACACACCACCTCCTGTGCCAGGCTCCAAATCCACTGACATCCTCAAACATAGTCTGCGAATAAGAGACACCTTCACTAGCATCACATAAAACAGCCTTAGTATAAAAAGAAAGTGTTTAACAATGACTTCATATTACTGATCTAGTTTTTCTAGCAATGCTTGGATATTTACTGGAAGGATAAGAAAAATGTATGTTCTAGCATTCTGCAGACTTTCAGTATAAAGACTCACCAGGAAGCCTTGTTCCTCTATCCGTGATCCAACCTGGCACTGCATTTTCAGGTATATGTGCCCCTCCAAAGAACAAAGGAAAGGTACCTGTAGCAAAACAGGACACTAAGGGCTGGAAGACAGACATATCCAAGAGAAGTGTCGTTTACAGCAAGAGAGAGCCATAAATGCAGAAGCTACACATTTGCCTGAAGGAGTAACGAAAACAACTAGTATACACCCAAATACAAAGGCATTGATGTGCACACAAAAATCTAAATAAGCGGCTTAAAGTGACAGTATCACAGAAAAGACACCAAGCCTTGTTAGCCAAATACTCAGACACACAACAACCCGTGTTACTAAACACAGAGCAAATATAGCAACCTTTTTGTGAAACATGTCACTGAGCAGCTCTCTTTCAACCCCTTCATATTTGATCTAAAAGGGAGAAATTACTGCATGTGAAAGAGTCTGGGATAAGCAAACGGCAGCACTGTGCAAGAAAAACAAGAATAGTGTTAAAACTGTATTAAGCTGGTGTGAACACTAGTGCTGTGGTTAAACCTCTCTCTCTCTCTGATGTTAGCAAGCAACAGAGGGTATGCATTGACGTCACTTTCATGACAGAACACGCCCACTCAGTGGCAAAACACCCTGCAACTTGGCTGGACTCAGTGATCCACATCTTACAAAAAAACAAAAACTGGACATTGACATGTGGCCAAGAATAGGGTTTCCTGACATTTATATTTACCCAATTTGGATGCCAAAGAACTAAGCAAAGCTATACAAAAGCCTTCACACTTGATCTTCTAGACAACACTATAAATACAATACAGCTAGATCTAAATCTGGACGATCACTTACAAAATTGTTATATATTGTCATTTCACCCAGCTATAAAACTTGTTAAAGGCATTACAGAAATAACATTATGACTTTCTGTAAAGCTGCTTTTTTGTATTAATTTGTGAAACGTTGTATTGTGCAAAAATCAAAGTGATGAGAACACCAACGGATCCATCTGGTTGTTTCAATATATTTAGTAAAAACTTTTATCTGCACAACTGTCAGATGATACAGAGTTCAGCAATGTAAATCTATTTAAGAACTCCATTGATTGTATCAGTCGCATTCAAGTTGAACACCACGTTATGTTGCTACAGTCTTTCTGCCACTCACTGGGCGCAACCGCAGTGACTTATGCCTACTGTGACGTCATGTGCATACCCTCTATACATCCAGTGCGTTTCGCCAGGTGATGGTGTTAGTATCGTTTGATTTGTGGAACAGTTATGATGATATAGAGATAGATGCAAAGGCAGGAATGTACCTTCTCCAGCAGGAATTTGTTTTTCCCAATAGAGGCTAGAGTTAGCTTGTGTGATCCGACAAGTACAAAGCTACTGGTGCGCACTGCGTTTGGACCACCGGGGCTAGCCACAACTGAAAATGCAGAAACTAATTTAACAAACAAACAAACAACAAATTGAAAATGTTAGTTGAATGCTCATTAATACTCACCAGGTGTTTGGAGGTTGCTCTTCTATAATAGATAAATGGAGAGGACAAAAAAAAAGTACCAGAACTTTACATGTTTATAACAAATTAATGTTAAAGTACTGTATTGCATGTACAATATTACATTACAAATGAGAAATCATGCAAGAGGTTCTGCATAATAAAACCTCAAACCAAGATCAAAGTCAGGGTGTGGATATTTTCCCCAGAGGAAGAATTAATTTGGCCTTAAAAACAGATTTTTGATCATTTTGCAGCAGTCTACAGGTTTCACTGATTATTGATAAATGCGTTTACAACACAAGTTAGTTTTTTCATTTTCTTTTGAGCATCATTTTCATCTGGACATAAAGACAGAGTGTCTTTATATAATAACAGTGTAACTGTAGTGATATATGGAATAATGATTCCGAGACCTTCAGAAATCATTCTAATATGCTAAATTGGTACTCAAGAAACATTTCTTATTATCATCAGTGTTAAAAACAACTGTGCTGCTTAATATTTTTGTGGAACCCCTAATACAGTTTTTTTTTTTTATGATTCATCGATTAACAGGAAAAAAAAAAACGAACCGCTTTTTGTAACATTGTAAAATGTCACTTTTACAATGTTACAGATTCACCTTTGATCAATTTAGTGAATACTTGCTGAATAAAACTATAGAAAAAAAAATTCACCCCTTTTGACCAGTAGTGTGCGTTGAAGTTTAAGCGAACAGACTACTTACAGAGATAGCAAGAAACCTTTTTGGTGTGATAGCCTGTGGAGATAAAATTTTATTTCAGTCAAATACAGTGAACAATACTTATAACAGCTTATTATACACAAACACAGCACTGCTGAGTACTACTGAGACAAAAGGTCTTTTTAGTTAAGGAATGAATAAAAAAAAAATACCCTTCACCGTGCACTTTGTTCAGACTGACAATTCTACACATTAAAAACACTTGCTTAAAATCTAACCAACTGCTTGCACACCAGCAAGTGATATTTTGAAAAAGCATACCAACAAGCATGCTTCCATGTCATGGAAATGCCTCAGGAGAATCTGGACACACTGATTGCTGCTCTTTAGATTAGCCATTCATTAAAACTTAGCAAGCTGTTAGTGTTACACACTACACTTCCTTGTATACGGAATCATTTTAATGTATTACGTCTAAGACTAAGAGTCTACCTTTGACTTGTTGGGCTTTTTCCTCTTGTCAGGGTTCAGCTCCCGTTTCTGAACCTAAGAGAAAAACAAACTTTTACTAAATCTCTTTTATAAAGGTTTAATTTGTATTCAAAAGGCATGCATTTCACTTGAAAGCAACTGAAACAGCTGTACTTACAAAACAGTACACCTCAATATCAATCTCAAAGTCATTAGAGACATCAGACCTGCACATCAAGCAATATATTAATATGATAAACACTACACTGAGGTGATAGGGATGTCAAGAGTGGCTTGATGGGAAATGACACTTACAAAGTAAATTTGGTGGAGAAGGTCAAAGCATCGCCACTTAGACCAGTGTGTGCGCTTGCAAGAGGAGTTGCCACTGTGTTCTCAGCTCCAGCACGGATCATCACAAAGAAGTAATGGTTTCCACATTCTTACATGAAAATTACGACATGAGTGAGTGTCTGATTGGACATGAAGGTGCCAAACAAGTATATGTATATATATATATACACATACAGAAGCATTCTCACCAGGCTTGTTTGAAAATTACGACATGAGTGAGTGTCTGATTGGACATGAAGGTGCCAAACAAGTATAAGTATGTATATATATATATATATATATATACACACATACAGAAGCATTCTCACCAGGCTTGTTGGCAGAAGAACAGATAAAGTCAGCCTTCAAAGGGAGTCGCAGCTCCAGCAGTGAGATGGACCCTTTAGAAGCAGGTAAACCCATATCCGCCTGGGCACTGCTTGTGCTTTTCTTTTGGGCTGTTGGACCTTCTGCTTTTAACTGGTCCAAATCAGCCTTGAGGGCGGCCCTCCTTTCGGCTGAGGTCGAACAAAAGTAGTCATTACTCCAAGTTTAAGAAATAATTCAACACATTAAACTGTTAAAGCAAATAACACCTCAATATGAAGAAGGAAAAAAAAGTCTATAGTTCAATAGACTTTTTCCCCCCATACCTTTCACTTCCTCTTGCTCTTTCACTATAGGAATCTCTTCTTTAAATGCAACTTTCTTTGCAGGGCTTGGAAGAGCACACTCCTTCTCTAAAAGATGAAAATCTGTTTAACTACTCCTATTCCAATAAACGTAAGGACCACTATAATGTTACTGTGAATAAAACTACATGAAAATGCAGCATATGGCAGATATGGCTAATTAACATAACTGAACAGAACAAAGAAAAATAACAGTGGAATGATGCTTTAGATTAGAAAAACACATTTAACTATATTATATGGTTTTTATAATAAAATACCTTTTTCACTATATTTAGAAGGGCTGTTGAGTACTTCAGGCACTGGCGTAGAAGGCTCATTATAATGCACTGGCACAGAAGTCTGACTCTGAACAGACAGTTCAATTTCCTGAGGATAAAAAAACGGTTACATTAAGTAACATTCTTAATGTTCAATGTTTCAAGTTCTTTGGCTTCCCATTCCTTTCATAAAATTAAGTACTGCGTTTATAAAAGAGGCACAACAGACTTTAGAAAAATGAATAGTTCAAATCAAAGTAATCATTTATATTGGTATATTTCTCTTTAGTATCAGTGTGATTAGTATTAGTAGCTTATTTTATTTGGGTTTGTCATGTCAGCTAAACGCAAAAATAAATAAATAAATAAATTTAAAATACAAAGGAAAGACAAATAAACTAAAATATAATTAAAAAGAAATAAGACAAAAAGATTGTGATGTATATAAAAAATAAAGGAAAATGCTGCTTTCCTTCCTCTGTGGATTTCATATTGCTAAAACTGATTTTTCACACTATATATATTATAGAAAAATATGGACTATCAATCTGATTGTGCACTGTCCTATCTACACGCAGCAGCAGAAAACACGATAGCAAACCTTGTTTTCAGGGTCATTCTTGACCTTACTAAGATCCTCTTTGCTCCTCAACATGTTGCCTTTTTGAAATCGATTACGAATTTGTGCCAGTTCTGCCTCTCGCTCCTATTGATAAATAAATAAAAGATTAGTGCTGATGTTTCATATGCAATTCAATAAATATACCCTTTAATTAGTTAAGAATACATGCCATTTTCTGCTTCTGAGTAAGGACAGCTGTGGTAGAGGTGGCCTGGGCGCACCCCAGCCTCTCCTGGAGTAGCCTGTACTTGGGGGTGGCAGAGGGAGTAGCCACAGGTGTGTGGCCTTGACCTCCTAATGCGGAGGGAGAATTCTGGTTGTGCTCCTGGCACCTTTCTCCAAAACGCTCCAAAAATGACTTGACCCCTACTAAAAGGTCAACATAAGCAAACATAAGTTCACAGATGTACACTTCAATGTAG